AATCGATTTTCGTGAAAAAAAAGTGGTGTTGATTTGAAGAAAAATTGAGAATTTTAATTTTCAAATTTCCATGTGCTTTTCGTATAGGTAACTTTCGCTCCCTCTGGTAGGCTTAATATGCCCCGGCCACGAGATGTAATCGATCCCGGATATGAAGGATGCATTGTAGAATTGATTTTCGTGAAAAAAAGTGGTGTTGATTTGAAGAAAAATTGAGAATTATAATTTTCAAATTTCCATGTGCGTTTCGTATAGGTAACTTTCGCTCCCTCTGGTAGGCTTAAATTGCCCCGGCCACGGAATGTGATATATAGTGTGATAACACTGACAACACACAATGTATATAATTTTGTGTAGATACTATAACACCGTTTTACATGGGAAGACGGTGCCGCACCGCCTGCTTACGTTGCGCCGGCTTCGCTGCTGTAGCGACGCGCGATGGTGTCCAGCGCGACGCGGCCGCTGGTGAGAAGAGGGACTATCGTTTGTTGCTGGCTGACCGTTGTTGCTAGAATCACCGCGGTGAAAATTTTTGTGCAATCTTTATAGTTAAATTTTTCCTAAGAGATAGCATCAGTGAGGGAATTTTTTTCTATTGTCTTATTTTTCACATTAATGCGATGTCGAGGTATGTGGCCCTATCGCAATTGAAAATAAGGTTTCGATAATCCTTCCATAAAGTTTCGATGAGTACATCTGAAATAACATTGAGATATTCTTCAGGGAAATACAAAAATCTCCTTTTGTGTTTTTTTGTGCAGATTTATCTATTAAAATCCTATCCGCAATCTATTTTCCGTGCACACACCTTCAACCGAATGTATGCCATATATGATATTACCGTTTCCAACATTCACCAAGGTTAATAGGAACCATAACAGCTCCCTACCCTTCCCCCCTATAAGAATATCGATTTGTAGCCTCACATTTCAAGGTTAGACTTCTTGTTATGTTTCTGTTCAACATTCGGCGATTTCTGACAATTTTCCCAATAAAACATGATCATTGTGACATTAAGCCTGGCAACGCTGCATAGCAGAGGGAACTCTCAGCGTCACGTTGATGGTTCGTCACCACGCACAGGATTGTAATCAGTTACGGATACCCGTTTATGAGCGCGAACGTTTTATGCACGTCTTGACTTGATTTTTCTTGCGGAAGTTTAATATTAGTCTAAAATGTCTGACACAGATACAGCTGATGAAGTGGTTGAAATCAGCTTAACGCCACCCAGCAAAAGGGCTAAAAAGCTTCATCTTAGCGCAGGTGAAAAACAAATTATTCTAAATATCTACAAGAACCAGATTCAAGAGAATAGTGGATTGGCTATAGAAAATATCGTATGTAAGGTTGCTGAAATTTCTGGAGTAGGTCGATCAAGTGTTTACAAAATCTTGAAGGAATATAGACAAAATCACTCACTATCTGAGCCAAAAACATATCCAGCGAGAAAAAAAATCATCGAAAAAATAGATGACTTTGACAAAAGTGAGATTAGAAGAAAAGTACATCACTTTTTCTTCAGGAATGAAATACCTACAATAGATAAAATATTGAAGCACGTGAATGATGATGAGGACCTGCCAAATTTTAAAAGATCTACGTTCCATAAGCTGTTGAAGGAACTAGACTTTCGATTTTTGAAAAGAGGAAGGAATAGTTTATTGATAGAAAAGGGGGAAATTGTTATCTGGAATAGAGAATACCTTAGAAAAATTAGGCAATTCCGCACTGAAGGAAGAAAAATTTATTATTTAGACGAAACATGGGTGAACGCGGGGCATACGCAGGGAAAGGTTTGGGTAGACAGATCTGTGAGGTCCTCAAGGCAGGCTTTTTTAGATGGCCTTTCGACGGGATTGAAAAATCCTGCAGGTAAGTTTCGAAGTATATGAACTTTTTTGGATGCAGATAATTCATTTTCTGATCGAATCAATGATTTGGAAGCTCCGAACTCAGTTTTGCTATCTCATCCAAGTTTCTGAGTATTTCCTTCACCCAAAAACTAATCTAAGACCCTATCCTACACTAACCTAAAAAGAGTAAGTTGCTTAATTTCGTCATTTAGTGCGCTCGCTGAGAAGTAAAATAACTAATTACTTTCAGGCAAGGGAAAACGCCTGATCATTTGCCACATAGGTAGCGTAGATGGATCTGTTCCTGAAGCATTGTGGGCATTTGAATCCAAAAAAACTGGAGACTATCACGAAGAAATGGATGGTAACTCATTTGAAAATTGGTTCAAAAAAATTTTGCCGACACTTGATGATAACGCAATTATTGTGATGGATAATGCCCCGTACCACTCCAGAAAATTGGAAAAAATTCCAACAATGGCCACCAAAAAGGCAGACATTCAACAGTGGCTTGTCTCAAAGAAGATCGACTTCGACCAAACAATGGTCAAAGCTGAGCTGATAAATATAGTCAAGCGACATAAGTATAAATATGATTTAAAAATTGTTGAAGAAATGGCCAAAAACCAAAATAAAACGATTCTCAGGCTGCCTCCCTATCACTGCGAACTGAATCCTATCGAGTTGATTTGGGCCGACATCAAGCAATACAATACACGTCAAATAACAGCACTTTTAAGTTTTCTGACCTTAAAAAACTGTTTGATGTTGCTGTCGATAGAATTACGCCAGCAAAATGGAGAACATGTATTGACCATGACCATGTCCAAGAGAAGGTTGAAACCAAAATGTGGGATATGGACAATATCATTGACACCCAAGTTGAACGCCTTATAATTGACATCAACAATTCTGATGATTCAAGCTCCGCGGAATACAGCATATAAATCGATTGATACCATTAAGACTGGCAGTTTAACGGGCTTTTTGGCAAGACAGGTAAGTTCATTATAGACTGCAATCAAAGTGTAAGTTTCTAGTTATTAATGTGGAAATTCCAAATTTATAATTACACAAAATTAGGGTTAATTTAGGAGTTCCAAAGCATAATAGTGCCATTTTGACCTTCTTCCTATTTCTCATGTAAATTTTAATAGCAATCAAACTAACAAACTTTATGGAGTCTGTAATAAACTTTTGTACTACTACTACTACGTCTGTAGTTTCTATTTGCTCAAAAAAATTTGCTCTGCATTGTGAATAGAAGGTTGATTTGTAAATATTATTGGGTATATATGTAAGTTAATAATAAAATATGAACAATTTCAATTGAGATGGTCCACAAGTTTTTTTCGTGTGCGTTTTAGTAACATTTTGCTGAAATGGTGAATACAGAATTTTTTGCACTGATTCCTAATGTCGAAATATGATTAGAAAGGCGTGGTATATTCCTGATAATTTACTATGCTTTTGATAGAATTTACAGCAACACATATCTTGTACGACATTTTTTGATAGATCAGTCACAATAGCTTGATACGGCCCTGTAGCGTCTCCTACGGTTAAGTTCTTGATCACGTGCAATACGGGTGTATATGTTTGATTTTACTTTGTTTCTTCGATGGATACAGTTTAGATAATGCAGCTCGCTGAGCAGCAGGCCATGATGTAAATAATCAAATGCTTTACTGAGGTCAAGGATAACTGCTGTTGTGACAATACTATTATCTATTGCTCTAAGATAATCATCACAAACATCCGTCAATGTGGTAACGGTGCTATGATGTAACCTAAACACAGACTGAGTAGATGGCACTAACTGGTAGTTTTTAATATCCATCTTTTGATCATATACTCGTACAATACGCTCCAGTACTTTAGATAGTACAGATAGAATACTAATCGGTCTGTGGTCAGGGCCGTATGCTCCGCTGTTCGATTTTCGTCCGCCGACGCGCATGGCGCCACGCGGAGAGTGATGTGAGGGTTGATATGGATAACGTGCATATTTTCACCTACAGGCCAAACGGCTGGACGGATTTTCACATATGAGGTGTCGTTGGCTTCGTCTTAGCGGTGCGAGTGACACTAGCTACATTGAAATTTTATAAAGAACATAATGGTGGATTTTAATAAAAGATTTCAACCTCGTAATTCCTACTTCATATGCTACGAAGCATACGGCCCTGGTGAATTTCCGTCTTTTCAGGGCTGACATATGGAAAGAAATCAAGGTACCTACCGATAAAGGTGAATAACTAATAAACATGTGTAATAATTGTATTTATTGAAACAATTTCATATTTACAAACTGTGGCATAAATATAGAGGTACTAGGTATATCATTTTGTTGGCACGTTTTGCCTACTTTAGAAACTTTCTTAGCTTTCGAGTGCATGTATGACATTTTCCACGTTATATTACCAATCATCCATTCATTTTAACATACTAGAATGACAGCTAAAGCTATATTCGACGAACCGAAACGCTTTATCAGAATTCATTTCCTATTACTAGTATCATGTATCTATAGATCTACATGGACTGATGAATCTTATTTCAAAAGTTACGATTACAAAATTCGCACTGAGTACTCCTCTGTGAGCGTCACCCCTGAAGGGATACCTAAATACCGTTTTGCTGAAATTCGCCTAACCTACAGCGCCGCACTTCGCTAACGTGGTCGATTCTGCTGGTAGATGGCGCTTCGCGATGTCTTATTTTGATAGACCGTACCTCCTGGATAGACGATAGTTGCGATGCTTTCCTTCGCTGTCCCAGAGACGAGAGATCAAACGTAGACTATGCTGATGAGTAGCCAAGAAGCGCGAAACAACTGTCCATGGTTAGCTGTCTGTTGATCGCTCTGTTGGAACGTTGGAAGCATCATGTTTAGTTCGCTAAAGTTTGTTTTTCGCGCTTGTCGAATGCTATACTTCAGGAACAATTGATTATGCTAGAGGAAGTGTGCCTGAGATGGCATACTTGCTGAGTTGGCATAGCCGCTGTTTAATGTACATACATTTAAAATTACGCGCCTTTTGTTGCGCCCCCTTGAAGCCACCGGCTCAAACAAACTATTGCGTTAATCGAAAGCAGGTCAGTAGCCGTTGAGTGGTCGAAAAGTACCTTAGTCACATGTTTGTTTACCCAAAATATTTTTTTGTGTCGTTCGCAGATAGTTTGGTGGGCCACGGGAGTAACTTAAAGGTATGTTATTGTAACTTTCAGATAGAGAATTTATTGAATATTATATCTAGATTATCAAATATTTAGTTTAAAATGGGTTTGAGTAAAAATTGTATTATTTAAAAATAACCGTCAATTTTATGAGATGCATACAACAAGTTTTATAAGATGGCTTGGTATGCCATCTCAGCAACACAATTATTAATTTGAAACAATGTTTTTTTTAGACATGAGTCGCTACAAAAGAAAGTCAACAGAAAATCTAGAAAATGAACTGGTCCAACATATCAAAAAATGGAATCCATGTTTTTTGGACTAACAACGAATGACGTCCGAAAACTGGCATTTCAAATTGCGGAAGCAAAACTAATCTCTCATCGATTTTCTACTCAAACTAAAATGGCTGGGTGGACCTGGCTGAATGGTTTCAGGCACCGTAATCCTACGATATCCTTACGATCACCTGAGAGTACTTCTGCGGCTAGAGCTAGAGCTCTTAACAAAGTGCAAATTGACAAATACTTTCAAATGCTTTCTGGAGTGTTGGATCATCATAAATTCCTGCCGAATGATTATTGGAATATGGATGAAACAGGTATCACCACCGTTCCTTCGAAGAATACAAAAGTTTTGGCCACCAAAGGCTATCGGCCGTTTGCTGTATGAACGCAGCAGGTAAGTTTATGATTTTAAAGTAGGTACCTAGGTATGAAAAATCGTTATCTATTTTTTAGGGACATATCTCCCTCCTGCTCTCATATTCCAAGAAAAAATATGAAGGCTGAATTAATGGATGGAGCACCTGGTAGTTCTGTGGCATTTACCCAGGAAAATGGTTAGGTATAGTCAACGCCAAACAAAGTGGCGTGCACGTCATCACGATAAAAATTCCCCGACCTAATGCCTAGGTTTCTATCACAAACAATTGCTCTATTGCAGTTTCATATTAATGTGATATATAAATTGTAAATGGTCATTACTCTCTTATTATGGTTAATAGTCATATAAACATTGTTATTAAAATATCACATAAGTTGTTTTCTGATAAATTTAGACGCATTATGCGAAATAAAATGTTTTGCAAACGCTCCAATCACTTATCGACATGTAAACGCACTAAACCGATTCGCAGCGTTGACACATTGTCACCTTGCAACTTATTTAAACTGGGAACTGACATTTGTATTAATTTTGACACTGAATCAATTTGTGGCATTTCAAATCTTTATAAATCCTTTGGCCCCGCATACTGTAAATCAACAACTGTTTGTTTCAAAACAAAATTATTCATTTTACGAGTAGATAAAGGCAATTTTGGTATGTAAAGATGCCCAAACAGTTAAATAGTCGGTGTAAGGAACTCGTGGCCTCGTTAATGCACTACTTTGAGCAAGAAAGGGACAACAACGGGCCTTTGTTGCCTTTAAATGCTGTTCAAGAGGTAGGTTACTAATAATTATATGTAATGTATATTAATAATAGTGAAATTTTATTTCATTTTTTGTAGCGTGTTGCTGCTGCTTTAAAAATTAGTTTAAGGACAGTTAGTCGTATTTCCGAGGGTGTGAAAAGTGATGCAAATTTAGAATCGCCCAAGAAAAAAGCGGAGTTATATTAAACGTGTAACCAACACAGCGACATTGGATACAAGTGCCATTCGAGAAGTGATCTATAATATGTATCACAAAAGTAAGATCTTATTATAATAACTTATCAGAAATTTGCATTAATTTGTTAACTAAATTATAATGTCATATTATACATGGTTTCAGAAGAACAAGTTACGATACAAACTTTATGGTCTCGATTAAGAGATAGGGCATTATTTGATGGTAGTGCCCACGTCTTTAAGGCGGTTGCTTAGAGATCTTGGATTTAAGTGGCTTAAGGACAATCCGCGACGAGGGCTCATGGAACTACCAAGTATAGCTTTGAAAAGGGTGGAATTTCTAAGGCAATACAATCAAGCCAAGGTTGAGGCCTTCCTCGATGAAACTTGGATATTTCAAAATGGGACCATAGGTCGCTCTTGGCAAAATGGAAACCAAAAAAGCGTGAAAGCTATTAAAACAGATGGTAAAAGGTATGTACTTTTACACAATTTGCACTATAAAATTTAAAACTAATATATTTTAGATACATTATATTACATGCTGGAAATGAAAATGGGTTTATTGAGGGTAGTGAAGCGATATTTTCTTCGAAAACAAAATTGATCGATTACCATGGAGAGATGAACCAGGACAATTTTTTGAAATGGTTTCAACATCAGTTATTAGAAAAATTGGAGAGTCCATCTATGATTATACTGGATACGCCCCTTATCACAGCATGATATTGAACAAAGTGCCCAGCAATGCATGGACAAAAAAAAATATCCAAGACTGGTTGACAAATCAAAACATACCATTTTTAAACACAATATTTAAAACAGAGCTATTGAGTATTGTTGCTCGGTACATAATGCTTCTTAATTATATATATTTTGGTCGACAGTTTATATTTCTTTTGTTATTCCTATTCTTAAAATAACTGCTTTTTTAGAAACAAACCACCTAAAATATACGTGATTGATGAATTGGCGGAACAACATGGGCACAAAGTTCTTCGTCTGCCTCCTTACCATTGTATATTTAACCCTATTGAGTTAATTTGGGGCATAGCAAAAGGTTACTATAACAGACATATTGGTAAAGATGGTAACAGTGAAAAAGACTGTTTGGATATGTGGAACGAGGCTCTACAAACGGTTACCCCAGACATGTGGAAAAATAGTGTTCGACATACTGAGCAAGAAATTTTTAAATGGTATGAAAGAGAACGAATTTTTGATCGACCAGACATCGAACCTTTAATAATCAACTTTGAGAGTGATGAAGATTCAGATTCAGACAGCGCTGAAGAAAGAAACTCCGACTAACTTTATTGTACAGAAAAAGCTTACACCAGTAGCTTACCTAATTTTAGAATGCATTTTTCTGTATGAATTCTGTAAAATAAATACCATGCATAAAATTTGGAGGACCCCATTTGGATTTTTATTCAGTACCTTTAAGCTATCAATTAAATATGGTAGTTTCATAGTGTCATCTGATCAATAATTGTCATACTTAATGATTATGCAAGTACAGATCTATAATTTTATTATACTATTATTTTTGTTCTCATTTGAGGTTAATATTGCTTATAAACCTAGATATGTAAATAATAAATTTTATTATTTTACAAAAAGTTTGGCAACAATGTAAATTTTTCAACACACCCACCTTGATGACGTGCACGCCACTTTGTTTGGCGTTGACTATAGGTAAATAGCTTTTAATTTTGATATCAAATTATATAGCATGTCGTACATTATTATAAAAAATCCTGAGTAAGCCTTGAAACTTCATATAGTCATCTATTTTATGAAATATAAAAAATATGGATAGATACAAATTTTGAAGTGCCTCAGAAAGTTGGTTTAAGCTATCGAATGAAGAACAAAATAATAATTCTAATTATGCCACCGTGTAGAAGAGAAAAAGTTGTTTGAAATTTGAAGACAATGTGGACGTTTTGAAAAGTTTTGTTTCGGACTAAAACCAGCGGAAAGTAAAGATGACATATATATAGTGATTTTAGCAAAATTAAGTTATTATAGGGACTATCATTAGGCTCTTAGAGAGACATGTTTAGTAGACCTGAAGTCTGAGATACGCCGAATATACATACTTATTTACGTATTCTCTCCTGATTCACGTTAAATAAGTGGATTGTGTTAGGGACTGCTACATCTAATATCGTGTAATACTATGTCCGGTCCATTACTGTGTATAGTTCTATTCGTGAGTATAGAGCGATCGTAGTATAGATTATAATTTAAGATTCTGGTGTATATTTGTAGTAGGGTATGTTATCTCTACGAGGTAATCCATTTTGAATAGCTAGAGTTTGGTGGATTATGTTTGGAATTTTTATTATTATCATTATTATTATTACTATTATTGTTATTATTATTTATTATTACTATTATTATCATATATTTCGTTCATTTCAATAGATTTACTGTTTGTTAATGTTAATGTTGTTATTGATTGCTCTTAATTTCCATCTTTACTACTGTATCAGGGCGTGCATCCTCTAAGGTCAGGATGATCTATTATCCAAGTTCCAAAAAAGACAAAACTTCACACGGAAGCTTGAACATTTTAAATGGTACTTCAATTGAGGTTATGTTTGCGACAATAAGCCATGGAATTATCTTTTCTACATAATAGTTCGGAAGTAGTTCTGAGCGGTATTTAATAGTAATAATAATAATATTTATTTACTCTAAAATACAGGGAACATGAAACGAGTAAATAAATATAATATATCCATAGGAGGACAACGCCTGTGCATGGATCATATGTATGTTGAATTGCAAAATATAATAAAATAGAGAGAAAAAAGAAATTATTGGTAAGAATGGTAGAGTATTTATTGTGTAATATTTGAGATTATTTTATTAATTTGATTTCTCCCAATCGTGTTAATAAATTTTTTTAATTTTTTTTTTGAAGCCTAATGTATTGCGTAATTGTTTTAAATTATTTGGTAAATGTTCGTACAATTTTGGAGCTATATACAGGTGACATCGTTTCATTAGGGATTTGTTTGGTTTAGGAACATTTTTTGCGCGTAATTTATATCTGGTTTTATGATTATGTTTAATTATGTCGTGTTCACTAATAGTTTGTGATAATGAGTGATGGTATGTAAGAAGTAAAGTTGTTTAGTATCATATACTTGTGCATCATTATATAAGTCATTAGTTGGGTATAATTTTGATTTGCCTAACATTGATTTTAAAATTCTTCTTTGAAGTACATCTAAATCGTTAAAGTATGTCGTGCATGCAGCACCCCACACTACTATACCATATGTTATGTGTGGCTCGACTAAAGCTTGATATATTATTCGCAGATAATATTCAGTTAATATACCGGTTATAAATTTATTTTATATGCTATGAATCTAATTTTCTTTAGTATGTGAGAAATATGTACATCCCATCTCAAGTGGGGATCTAGATAAATTCCTAAATATTTTGTATCATTAACTCTATTGATTTTTATATTTTTATCATTTACCTTAAACCGAAGGTGGTTATATTTTGGTAGATGATTAGATAGTGATGAAAATGGTAAAAAATGAGTTTTAGTAAAGTTAATTGTTAATTTTCGGTTATTAAACCACTGAATAATTTTGCAAAAGTCATTTTGGATAATATCTTTTAAGTCGTTCCAATCCTTACCTTTATAGAGTATAGCAGTATCGTCTGCAAAACTGACTATTTTACCAGTACTGTTAATTTTGAATATATCGTTTAAATAAATTTGAATAACAGAGGACCTAAAATTGTACCTTGTGGAACACCACATTTAACAAACATCTCTTTACTATACGAGCTTAATAATTTTACTGATTGCGGTCTATTTGATAAATAATTTTCCATTAAAGTATACATCTTTCCACGAAAACCTATTCTTTCTAAGATTTCCAAAAGTATATTGTGGTTAACTGTGTCAAACGCTTTTTGTAAGTCCACAAATACGCATATCGATGGTACTTTTCCATCTATATTTTGGGTTATTTCATCTACTATACTTAATACCCCATATGTTGTAGATTTGCCAGCTATA